TATTTCATGGGACACTCCTCCTGGAAGTTGCGTCAAGGGGGAAGTAGGTTTATGGGATGATTGACCTGTCTATACATGTACTTGCAAGCGAACTGTACAAAGACAAGAACAAGTGCATGTCAAGATTTGCCCCTCCCCAAGAGTGTGCTCCCACCCCCATTTGTGCCCCACCCATTTCCCTCTATTGGTACAGAAGGGGCCCAGGGGAAGATATCCCAAGGTGCATGAGAGGCAAACTGTGCCAGTTTGACAGAATGCTTGTTAGATTTTCACAAGGGCATTGATTGACAGGACAAGCTTCTGTGTTTAGCCACCCAATGCAAATGAGCTGGCCCGCTGTAGAATGGAGCCAAGAAATGGGTCGCTGTTAAGCAAGCTGAGGATATAAAATTTACATGTACATGGGGCTGAATGAAACAGCATTAGGCCCCTTGAAGTGGGAAATTGAGAGGGGCTCCCCTGTATGGCAGCCTAATGAACAAAAGAGACAAGCTGGGAGAACTGCAAGTGCCCCAGTGAAGGTCTTATGTGCGAATACTGCACAAGCCGGGCAATGATGTGCCCAAAAAGGAAAAAGTCAACAAAGAGGACTTAACCAAGCCACAAGAATATGTGGCTGACTAAACCACAGCCTCTCTGATGGAGGAGAAGAGGCATGTTGGAAGTGCAACCAATGGCATCCAACAGCAATTGGAATATACGTGTAAATCCCAACTGACCGAGCCAAAAAGGAGGGTAAAACTGTTGCCCTGTCTGGACCTGTCTGTGGCTGCCTACACCCTCTCTAACCAGGCCTATATTAATGACAGAGCCTGGGTGCACCCGGAAAGCAACTTGTATGTGTACATGCTGTCCCTGACAGATCTGCTCCCTGTAGAGTGCCTCACTGTACCAAGCGAGGAATTGCCCTTTACTTGCACTTACTCCATGCACCCCACAAGTATGGGTCAAGCAAGACACTAATTCATTGAGGAAGGGGGGTTGTTTTGTACATGTAGATGTGTTCAACGCTCAGCAAGTTAACAGGAATAGGGAGAGAGCACACCAAATTACCGTAGCTTGCCTAAATCCTTGGCAGGAATTGGTTGGCAGTGCGGGGCTTACAGGAAACTGACCACTCATCGAAAACCTACTAAAGACCTTGCCATGTGGACTGTTGAAATGCCTGTTCTCACCCCCCTGCACCAAAGAGGTTTTCGAGCTTTGGAAAATTATTTGTAAAATCTATTTGAGATCTTCCGCAATGTGTATGCCCTGGTAGTGGATGTTAGACACTTGCTGTAGGATGGTGATATTGAGACTGGAAAAGTGTGTTGATTTGTTTTAGATGCTCAATTCACTTTATACTATATTTATTGGCACTGAAGCATGTTTGCCATTGAGCCCAGGTTCCAGGGTTTCTAAGTCTTGGTGCATGTTGGTGTGGTAGTTGGCTGAGTTGATTTGGCAATTCAGGAAGCATTCACTTGCAGACAGACAAACTTGGGATATAATTCTGTTTGGGTGGTTGTTAATGTGGCATGGGAAGAGTAACGGCCAAAGTTCTTTGAGGGACTCCAGATTCCACCCGTACTTCCTCATATGCTATGTCTTCTAGTATGACTTTCATATTGAGCTGTGAAGCATGCCCCTGATGCCATAACTGTGAAGTTTGTGAAAGAGTTTCCTGTGGGGTATGGTGTCAAAGGGACAGCTACATATGTTGACTTGCTTTTTGATGTCAAACAATTTCAGTAGATCATCAACTGTAACAATAAGTTGGGTTTCACAAGAGTAGCCATTGCAAAATCTATGGTTAAGGTGTGTCAGTATGTTGTGCTTTTCAAAGTGTGCCATGATGTGCCCATGAATATTGTACTCAAGCTATTTGCTTATCATAGAAGTTTAAGAGGGCTGGTAGTTTTTTGCAAGGTGTTTATCACCTTTTTAAACACACATGACATGTTAGTATCCAGCCAATCTGATGGAAAGTTGCTAGAGTCAAGCGATTTCTGGAAGATGACGGATGATCCAGGGAAGATGTTGTTTTCAAAGTTTTCAAAGCGATGTTAGGGATGTTGTCACGTCCACAGGCCTTGTTGACGTTCAGATTTGTTAGAAGTGTAGACACTCTAGCTGAATGGATGACAATGCGAGCAATTTGTTGATCAACAAATATTCCCTTGAGGGAGCTCATCATGGGCATTGTGAGTAAAAACTGATTTGAAGTGATCTACAGTACTAAGATCCTTGCCTTGGATTAGCTGTTACTAATTAGGCTACCTTTGCTTTTCAGTGAGGCATTACCTAAACTGTCCTGTTGCTTGTCTTTGATGTACCTCGAGAACAAATTTGTGTTGTTACTGAGGCCTTCCTGGATGACTTTGTTTATATAATTTCTTTCTGCCTGTCTGATTTGCTTCTTGCATTCTTTCTGGAAGCAGTGATATGCTTGCCATTGATTGTGCTTCTTGGCACACCTACAAAGTCTCCTTTTTAGTTGATATATCTTGTGATGGTTTTATCAAACCAAGGTACATGTAGACAGTTGTTTCCTTTTCCTCATCTTGTAGGGGACGTGAGAGTTAATTTAATTTTGTTCCACATCTGGTGTACTGTACATCAGAGCCATTGTTTTGTATGCTTACATCATCTTGAGAAAGAATATTAAAGCTCTTCCTGTGTACATGTGAGTACAGTGTGCATGATGGATGTGAATTGGCTTGATGTTGATGCCAGTTATTATAGTTCATGATCAGAAATTCCTCGCAAGGAAACTGAAGATAGATGAGTTTGATGTGAATACCAAGTCCAACACCTGTGTCAACTAGGCAGTAATGTGTATGTCTGCTTCTTGGGCATGTTGGGTTGACAGTCCCAATCAATGTTGGGGCAGTTGAAGTCGCCTGCGAGGATAATATGCATTTCTGAGAGTCCATTACTTGCTAGTTTTGTAAAGATTTACAAAGTTCACTTGTGTCACGGATATTTTGGTGTAGCATGTAAAAATGTCCAATCAGCAGTTCCCTGTTGTTGTGGAGATTAATTTTGACCCATATTAATGTGCAATCACTTGAAGTTTTGGTTGTTCAATGGATAAAAGGTTCCTACCAACAAGTGTGAAACCCCCTCCCTCTCTTGAACAGGGCTCTGCAATCATTCCTGTTTGGAATGAAGATTTCACTGGATTTCACATCGTCTTCAGATGGGTTGTGGCCAGGCTTGATGCCACTAAGCCAAGATTCAGTTCCACAGACAATTGAGCAGGTTTATGTACATGTACTCCTTGGCTGATGCAAGTTCAGATCTTTTGGATCCAGCGCACTAGAGCAGTTAATAATCATCAATTTAAGATTTTGCTTAGGAGGTAGGCAGGATGACTGTCTTCAAAGAGTGATGGTGTCATGATTGTGATGGAGATCTTGGTTTGTGTTCAATTATTGGGCTACGTGTCTGAAGTGGGCTGAAGGTGTGACCAGAAAAAACCGTATTAACTGAAGTGTTATGGTTCAGATGAGGTAAGAATTAATTGCTTGAGCAATCAAGGTCATACAGTGTAGCTATTGAAGGTGAAATTGCTGCAACACTACTACATTTATCACATTTCCACTGGGCAGTGGAGTGGTTTAGCAATTCAAAGGCTGCTTAACACAGATCAATACATGACTGGTAGAACAAAATACTACAAACATCATTAGGTACACCTTTACAGTTCCAAGTTACTGGATACATGCATTTCAAGAACAAATGGTAGTCTATTTTCCACAAGGCCCGGGATTGGGTTGAATGTCACCAGAAAGAATTGGTGACAAAACGTTACAGAGTTGAATTGGTTTGAAATTGCTGCAACAGGGTTTGCTTGATTCGGTAGGGATTGGCTTGCAGGAATGCTTGTTCCCATAAGCAGTTGTACCTTGAGGTATTCAGGTGTTTGTATGTTTTCAGCAGGAACACAATTGTGAATATAAATTGAAGAGTCATAGAGCATTTTTAGAATGAGTGGATTCAGCTCAGACTTCAGTTTTGCTAGTTCCAGTCAGAGCTTGAACATGTGGTTTCGAACGCTTCAAAATGGCTGGAACCAGCAAAACCAAAGTGTAAGCCTGTTCCACTCATTTCGAAAATGCTTATAGTTGCATGATACGATGACAAATTTCAAGATTGCCATCCAAAATTGCATTCACAGTGAGTTTTGTTTCCTTAACAAGGTGGTGTATTTGGGCCAGTGTCCAGCAATTACTTGTTTCTCCTCTGCATTTTGAAGTCCAAATGGCAGATCAATTGACTATTATGTAGACTTGAATAAATATGGATTGTTTTGGAACTTGGTTGGGGTAAGATTTCCTTCATTTTTCCAGATATAATTGGGAGAGAGAAAAAAAATGCAACCTCTCTCACTGCACAGCACCCTCTTGCTCCTTCTTGTCATCACATTTTTCCTGTTGGTTTTTTTCCTCTGCACTGTTATAGACATACATGTGGCCATTCAAAAGCACCTCACTCTCACACTCTGTTGGTATTATCCCAGTGAAAGGGTCTTTGGCCTTTGGGACTTTTCAAGTAAAATGTTGTTGCTTTTGCCTGAGCCTTCATGTGGATTTAGTCCTTCTCACTTCAAGCACCTTAACTTAACTTTTTGAGAGCCAAAGGGTAGTTGGCCCTCAAAAATTTCAGATTTTATGTATGAAAGATGGGATTTCTGATTGAAGAGGTACTGAAAAGGATTCAAATATTTTGATATCTTGGGTTTTGGAGATAGATAAGCCATCTAAAAACCAATATACAATGAATTCACCGGCTGCAAAGCAACACGAGAGAATTAGAGGCATTTTTTCCCCCAAACCAAGTTAGCTGATTTCGGAAACACTTGAGGTTAAATTTTGTGTTTTTGATATAAATGCAAACATTGATATCAAGCTTGTATGCTTCATGTAGTGGTACATGAAACATGTATTAATTTCAGGTTATTTCTGGGATTTAGCTTTGTATTTACTTTTTTTCCCTTGCCTTTTCATTTCCAGGGAGTTAACGGCAAGAATGTGTATGTTGCAGCTCAAGGTCCTTTGCCACACACAGTCAATGACTTTTGGCGTCTTTTGTGGGAAACTGGGGTGGAGGTGGTCATCATGGCCTGCAATGAATACGAAAGTGGAAAGGTATTTTTCATAAATGTTTCAAGATTTTTATTTCATTGCAATGTTGTATCTTCTCTCACAGTACACACACAACTGTATGGGCAGCCCTCACATGTTCATGGCAAAGGATACGTACATGTACATGTAAACGAAATCAAGCTATATAATAACAACCGTAAATTTCCTTTTCTTCCTCCTCACAGCACAAATGCGAGAAGTACTGGGCTGATGAAAATGAAACAAAACAGTTTGGAAATGTCACAGTGAGCTTAGTGAGTACCACAATTTGATGCAATAGTTGGTTTAAAAACATACATGTACATGCTGTTCATGTTGCTCCGTAGAATAGGTGACTGGTTTTTTTTGGGGGGGGAGGATTTGGGGTTTTGGAAAAGGGCTTCATGTTTTTCTCTTTGTGAGATGTTACAATGATTAAGTATATACATGTAATTATATATAACGGGTTTGCCGTTTCCCACTGATATTAATAAGCACTGCATGCTCAGTGCTTGTCCGAGAGCTTGTGAAAAAACCTCATAAGCTTACTTGGGTGGGACTCTAACCCACGACCTCCTGCTTACTAGTGCAGATGTCTTAACCACTCAACCACCGAGCTTGCCGGGGTCAGCTGGCCGATCCGAGTCAAATGAAGCAGCAGGTACCGCAAACTGTTTTCAAGATGTATTTTTGCATTGGTGATCGAGTGGTTAAGACATCTGCACTAGTAAGCAGGAGGTCGTGGGTTCGAGTCCCACCCGAGTAAGCTTATGAGGTTTTTTCGCAAGCTCTCAGACAAGCACTGAGCATGCAGTGCTTATTAATATATGTTGGGTAAGGGCAAACCCGTTGTATATAATTAACATCTCCCCAACGCAAAAATACATCTTGAAAATATATACATGTACATGTATATCCACCATTAACTGTGCCCAAGGCGCTACATTATGATTACCCTGGTTACCTGTCCTACAGCCTGATGCTGCCATTTTAGGTGCAATGGCTGATTAACCGAACAGAACAACTATTTCTGTTCTCAACAATACTCATCTACCTTTACATGTATGTACCCCTGGCTGGGAGAGGGAAGTAAGAATAAATTAAATTGCCCAAGGTTACAATAGAATCTGCTCTTTTGATGTCACAGTTGGTCATAAAAGTAAAAAATAATTCACACAAATATTATTGAAAGTCCCAATTGGCTACCAGACCACCGGATACAAATATGAATGAAGATTAAATGAAGATACAACCTTATTTAAAATTAATGGGATAAGTGTCCATTTTGAATGAATTTGAGGGAAAAAAGTGATTTTTGGGACAAGCTTTGGCCACCCATAGGGGTGTAGGCAAAATGAAAGTGGTCTATACATGTAGGTGCCTAGTTCCTGGATTTGAACCCTCAACCTTATTTTCAGAAGTTACGAAACCTAACTATTAGGCCAAATACATGTATCTTGTGTAAACTGTTTATTACGGCTAACAGTTATATGTTTATTTTAATTTTAATCTCAATAATTAATAATCTGGTCATTCAGCTTTGACTTTGATGGGTTTGAAGATATTGTGCATACAATGGATAGCCATTTGGTCAAATTTACAAATTGAATTTACTGATGCTGCTCTGAGCTTTAAGATCCAAATGCAGTACTGAACTTAAATGGTCTGGCAGTGTGAGTGCAAGTGAGATTATTAACATTATGGAATATATTGTGCAGAGTGCTGGAGTATGCTGCAGTTCCAATCCATTCATTATCCGCCTGTACTGTGCAGAAACCTCAACAAGAGTATACTCGCACATTGGTTAAGGTGCAGACAAGTGGTTGCAGATAAGACTTCAAATTAATGTATGCACAAAAATACAAATGTGTACAAGTAAAAACTAACTAAATAAAACGAAAGAAAGAAAAAAAAAATAAAAAGTACATGTAAGGAACATGTTACATGTTGTTAGTTACGATAGAGTGGTTATCTACATTTAAGGCTGGCACCATTCACTCTGGACTTAAAGATATCCTGGGTTGGTGACTTAACAACTTGCTTGGACAGTGTGTTCCAGAGGCGAATGGTGTCTAGGAAGAAGGAGCCCTTTAACCACTTTGTGCCGGGGCATTTTTCAACGTTGATGATGCTGGGCCGGCATGACTATCATTATTCCGTTTTCAAAATCCTTCAAAAATTCATCGTTCCATTTAACAGTCATTTATAGCCGCACAAAGTAATCTTTAGGCACTACTCTAAGTTGACAGGTGACCTTCATTGACACCCGAGTATTTCAGCCAGGCCTGTAGCCTTGTAAACAGAGCCCAGATTGTGGGGTGTTATACAACTGTCTTTTGTTCACGAACCTGGCTCAGTGCACTGCTGACCTCTTTTCAATAGGGGCCAAATTACTGTGCAGCGGTGCTGTGTGGCTCATCGCTGCGGTGGTGGAATGCTTTTGTCCCCGGTGGTAATCCGCTTGCTTTCAGTGCCCCAAACCCTGGTATACGGTTTCAAAACAACGCTGGATTATCACCACTTTTGAGTGTGAAAAATGCCAGTAATGCCCAGCAGCCTGGTCTTTTGTTCGGAGTACGATCTTTTGTTACAGGGCCCTGTTTCCTTTGTCCAAGTTCGGAAACCCCGGCCACGCATATAAACCGTACAGCTCCAATTTCGGAGTCCCTGGCAGGTAGTGGTTAATAAGGTTGTATGAGTGCGTGGGATGAGGAACTTGTGGCTGTTTCCTGTGGTACATGAATTGACCTAGATGAGCTGATTGTCAGGGATGTCAGTGAGTTTGTTAGTGATCTGATACATTATTGCGACTTTGGAAACAGCTCGTTTAAGACTGGCTTAAGAGCATGGACAAGACTAATGCTCGAGCCACAGGCGTTTCATCTCCTGAGCCGGTCAAACACATACTGTATTTATTCCCATTCATAAATACCTTTTTAGTAAGAGAGTCAAAAGAAGTTAATATGTGATGGATTTCCAGCGATTTTGTTCAGAGTTTTACTTTAATTTTCTGGAACGCCCGTGTCCATTTTATGGTACATTCCTTGTGCAAATTGTCAAGTTGGCATGCAGGTAAAGCCGTGTGCACACAGACTCTTGACCAATGAAAATTGATTAAACTGTGTTGCATCCAGGTGCCAGTGCATGATTTACACAGCGGGCATTATCATATCTCAGCAGGCATTATCAAATGTTAATACGCGGTCAAGTTGCACGTTGTTGAATAGGCAGACTGTCTGAGGTATTTATGCATTGTCCTTTACATTGAAGAATTTTTGGCTGTGAATAGTTTTTTCATTTATTAAGGCAAGGTTGTATCACTTTTTCTGGCAGGTTTGTAATGTTAATAGCTTTTTGTTGCAAGGATGGGTAGAGGCATAAAAGAATGACGTTTACTGTCTTGTCACAGATAACCCAGTTGAGAGTGACTCCAGATTTTATGATTCGCACGCTGAAGGCCAGCAACCAAGAGGTGGGTACCTATCACAGTAAGGATAATTACAACATTGAATGTTGGAACTCCATAGGGTTCAATTTTAATTTAGTTCATTTTCACACCACATTTGATCTGACCATTAAATTGAAATTTCAGACCATTTCTCACTGGCATTGGCAGGGAAATGCCTAGTGAAACCCTGTTAATGTACATGTACTTGCATTATTTTCAATTATTAAACTTTTCCAGGCAGGGGAATATACATGTATATATGATAGTATGTTTAAATTTTGAAATAACGATACTGTATCTCAGCCAAAATACAGCTGAAAAGGAAATTGATTGTTATCTATTACGTAGGCCAGCTACATTGTAGTGTACAAATATATTTTGATGTATTCACTTCTTTTTAGTGGTGTTGAGTAAACAAACAACCTTTTTCTTTTTGCTAATTGTCACGTAAAGTTCAGTCAAAAATAACAAAAGAGAGTGACCTGGTTTGAGGTAATAGGAAATAGAAATATTTTTCTTTAAAGTATCTTTGCAGTGCATGTTACAACTTTCAGTTAAGCATTTTAAGAATTATTTTGACATTTAAATGTTCCTTGGATTAGGGTTATGGTGATTAATAATCGAGTTGTTCTGAATAATTTGAGCAAAACTGACATTTTTTTGTTGATGGGCATGATGATCAACTGTAAAAAAGGACAAAGGCATTTCTCAGTTTGACACCTGGGACAAGACTTTCCTCTTACAAATATGCCTGAAGGGTGACACCTGGTAGTAGCATCCAGTTAGTTGGAAGAGCTTGGAAGTTCTTTTCTGGTTGGAATGTATGGGCCCTTCTAGTCAGATGGCTCAAATAGAGACATGTATCAGTATGCTTACAGATGGAGCTGCATTTATTTGTACATTTAGGCTCAAATCAAATAAGTTTAAAGGCCTGACATTGCAACCAAGCAGTATCTTTCTCTTCTTAATCAACCGATCAATCACGTGTTGTAATCAGTACTTGTACCTTGTGATCAATTACAAATATCCCCAACACTCAAGGACCTGATATTAAGAATGTGTGTGGAATCTAATGCAGGCTCAAGCCTTACCACAGCCTGTTATTCCTCACTTCCAAGGAGTCAAGCAGAGGAAATGCAGAGGGTACCCTTCGGGTTTCAATTTGCAAATGAAATCCCTAATCCCCACTCTTTAAGTGTCAAAAACCGCAGATTTTATAAGCAAAATGTAAGTTTTGCTTTCTATTGACGTAAATGAGTTTATAAAGGTTTGCAGAGGGATGATTGTCTCAAGTTGAAGATTAACCATGAGCATCTTCACTGCAAAATCCAATCCATAATAAATGATAGTAGTCATTTTATAATCTAGCACCTGGTGGAGTAAACACAGATCTACATTACTTACATGTTTGTGTAACTATATGTACCAGTACATGTGCAATTGTTATTTTGTGGGCTTTTTGACTGCCAAATTCATGAACCCAGTACAGTTATGACAGTTTTGGGATTAGAATACTCCTTGACAGCGCACAAGCACTGTGAGTGCCAAATCCAAAGACATTGTGTGATTAGCAGGATGGGAGGGGGAATTAAAGTCTTCTAAATTCATCCATACAAAATGACTGAGATGTAAGTAATTCCTTCAAATTTTGCCTGTTTAACAAGCCACTGTGTTTAATCAGATACTCCACTGTGACGTCAAAAGAGTCCACTGCACTCATCCCACCAAAACAGTCGCTATTTATGCAAATTTCCTTTCACGCCTTTTGCGATTTACTAAAACTTTGATCAACCGCAGTGGATCCTCTAGTTCTACAATCCAGAGCAGCACTGCGACCGCTACGTTCGCCCTTTTTTGTTAGTGCCATTTCTAATGGACGTGTCATTTTTGGCATCTTCGAATTCTTCGAGTTTTCCGTATCGCTATTTCCTCTTTGGTATCCTGATCAACCATACATTTAAAATATTATTAATAAACTGATTATTATTACTCTATGTCCCTTGTTCTTTAATATGTGTCATTACCCTGGTTTAAGCAATTTTTGTCGATTTAGTTGTGACACACTTTGTTCTTCCCCCCTGCTATGCCACAACCCATTGTATGCTTATGTGCATACATCCAGGTTTCTTCATGTTGGTTTTGCGAGGTACTTTTATAGGGTCAACCGGGCAACTCTGTTACAGTCGGGGGCTGGCTCTGTCTGTTTAACCTGATCTACAGCTGCGTTTCTACCATTTGACCAGGATACTAACAAGGATATCGGATACCTGGTCACATGGGGATCCACTGCCCGAGCGACATGCAGGCTGCTGACCAAGCTGACGTTGCCTCGGTCCCCCTGCCATGTCAGATGAAGAGATAGACTTTGTGGTCAGTCTTGCACCTACAGAGGCATGTCTTCCGTTGCTCCTGAAAGACAAGATTCAGATCCTGCGTCTGCCTGCCCTGTCACCGACCAAAGAGGATTTGCCCTCCTTCAAACGTCATATGGACAGACTGGAAGCCCCAGTGCCAGTTCTCCAGTGCTTCCTCTAGACCGTTCCTGCATGGAGACATTTAAGGTTTTATTCTACTCAAGAAAATGGCACTCCCACCCAGAGAGAGCCTGGAACTACTTCCGGTGTCCCTGGAACAACTGCGATTTCTTGTCTACTGACAGATCGCTGCTGACTCAGCCAAGTCTTCAGGTAAAAGCACCTTCAAAGACCAACCTGGAGCTTACCTTATCCAGGCTGGATAGAGCTCCTTGTCATGGTCTCCGATGTGCTGCATTCCTCTCATCCTTATCAGAGTATATTTCCTATACCTGTGAAGAAGATGCTCCTGTCTCTCCAGACCTTGCCATTGTTGCACTCAGGGCCCTGAACAAGAATGTTAATTCTGTCTTCGAGAAGTTCTCACGGATTTCCTGCCCAGCCATATCTTCCTGCAGAGCCCACGCTCTTGAGGCAATGAACATTCTGTGCGAGGGCATGAAAGAAAGACTTATTTGTAGGGCACTTCATAGAGATGATGCAATCGCAGGCTAAACACATTGAAACTACTCCAATGCTCAGTTTCCCTGATCCACCTCTGCCTCGTCTTTGCTCGCAATCGGCTCAACAGACCAGAACCCCACCTTCACAGCACTGCTCTGATCGCTACTCTTCCTAATCATTTAGTCTCCCGCCCCCCAGTGCCAGTCAAGTCTCACTCTCCCCTCTTGTTTTCAGCCAGCTCAAACATATCAGAAGACTTGAAGACCGAGAGAGAACATCCAGTGCCTCCCCCAACTGTCTGGGGGCCATCGCAGATGAGTACCTTGATTCACATTACTGAACCTGTCAGGGCCACCTACAGTTCTACACATGGTTCTAGCAGGACACCACATCGGAGAGAGGGGTTCTCGCAACTGTCTCCTTTGGCTATTCCCTCAAATTCATGAATGTCCCTCCATCAGACCCTATCCTCCTCCTGACGCCAATCCGTTGCGACAAAAACAAGTGGCTAGCACTGGATTCAGAAATAAACTCTCCTCTTCTGAAATGGGCATCATTCCTACTTCCCGAAATGACAACAGGTTATTTTTTAAACTTTCTTCTCACACTAAAGAAAGAACGTGGCAAGTGGTGCCCTGTCATCAACCTGAAGCTGTTAAACAGGTTCATCCACCCCGGAAGGTTCCGTATGGAAACGCTTTGAACATTGACATGATCCTTGCCGTTATCAGCCTGGGCCTTGATGGTGGATTTGAAAGATGCCTACATGTACCTTCACATACTGATCCGCCCATAGGACCGCAACTTCCTCCGCTTTATTTACAACAGAAGAACCTTCAAGTTTTCGGCCTTGCCGTTCTGCCTCTCAACGTCCCCAAGGGTCTTCACTCAAGCAGCCAAAATTGTTGCCACCTACCTTCGCCGGTTAGACGTCCTGATATTCCAATATCTCAATGACTGGCTCATCATAGGCCGATCTCCAGACGAGGCTGCAGCTTCCACTCACCTCACTTAGGAGCTTACCAGCCAGCTGGGGTTTCTCATCAGTCACGAGAAGTCAAGACCACTTCTTACCCAGGATTTGACTTAAGGAGCGTCTCAAAATTTGGAACGGTCGGAAGGTTCCCATTGGCATGCTGTGTTCTCATTCTGGAACAGTCGGCCGTTCCGTTGGGAATGTACCACATGGAACGCAGTGTTCCCTTGTGAGAATAGTCCAATGGGAACACCCATTCCCATCGGAACGTCTCCATTCGGGTAGCTTCATATTGCCCATGTACAAATTTTTACTTAGCCAATGTTCAAAAACGGCGCCTGCCATGACAAACGAGCGTAGGTAAACTACTTTGCTTTTAAGATAGGCTTAATTTTGAATGAGAATTGGAAGTAAACTGAAGATGGAATGTGATGTGGTAAAATTTCTTAATGTGACTGCGATACAAAGTGAAAATCACTACGTGCTGACTTCATGCAGAGTACATGTATATGTCGGTGTGTGTATCACTGGGCTGTAGGCTGCAATACCAACGTCGAGCTTAATTGCCTGAGTCATGTCGTTCAACCTTTTCCGTGATACTTGAAGACCTCACCCTGCACCCCTTCAAATACAGGTTAGGTTTTTAAATTGTTTCTGATATGATAGAGCACTTATGAGTGGAAACATTGCGATGACAAATCCCTCTATCACGCAAACCTGACAATGAATAAAACACAAGTACAGACGTTAACATTAACACAAAATTAACAGTGTCCAGATATACTGTAAAGTCATTGCATGGTAAGCTATGCCATGGTGAATATGGAAAAGAAAAACGAGAGAAAAGTTAACCTTCTGGAGGAGTAAATCGCAAAATTTGCCATCCTTCAGACTCAGGGTCAATGGAACGAATGCCAAAATCTTTCTTCCCAATTGCGAATGTAACTGCAGGACCGTTCTACTGGGAATACACGATGGAACACCAGCGTTCCAGTGGGAACGGTCCGACAGAATGGGAACCTTCCTGATTTTTGAGACACTCTCTTACCTTGGTGCGGTCCTCGACCTCTGCCAGGGCCTCATCACTCCGACTCCCAAACGCATCATTATGCTCATGGATTGCATCCGTCTCTTCATATCTCGCCAATTGGCCCCAGCTCAAGCATGGCTATGCTTCCTCTGCGTTATGGCAAGTCAGGTGGACCTAGTGCCCTTTTGCCATCTATACATGAGACCTATTCAACTCCTCCTACGAGCATTCTTCCGACCCAAATGGGATCCGATCAATCTCCTAGTTGCTATTATGGATCTCATCCCCCCTCATCTTCGTTGATGGCTATTACGAGACTATCTAGACTGCTGCCTGCCTTTCCCGAAGATGGATCCTCAAGTAACTATTGCCACCGGATCCTCAAGTAACTATTGCCACAGATGCGTCCCATCTCAGATGGGGTGTCTCCCTTCCCCTTCCAAGTCTCAATTCCTTGGACGCCACATCAGCATCTTGGAACTTGATCCGATCCTACAACTAGACAGTCATTGCATACATAAGCCACTGCATACGCCTCTGCCTCCTGACAAGACAGATGCTTCTCTGGGCGTGGGACTTTGGGATTAGCTTACAAAACAATTCATATCCTGGGTACCAGCAATACCGTATGCTCTCTCAGATCTGTCCAACCCTGTGGACTCTGCACCACAATGTGGCCCAGTCAATCTTTGAAGCACTTGACAGACCATATATGGATCTCTTTGCCTCGCCAGAGAATGCCCAACTACCAGTGTTCTGCACCAGGTTCCCTCACCCGAAAGCCTGCATGTCAGATTTTCCTCGTGTCAGCTGCGAAGGGATGCTCGGCTATGCCTTTTCCCCGATATCCCTAATCCCAGCAGTACTGTCGAAGTACTATAAGGTTGATCGAGAACATTACCAAGTCCTTCTCATTGCTGCGTTCTGGCTTCACCAACCCTGGTTTCCTCGGCTGATCAGACTCCTATTTCAGGTTCCGCTCATCCTCGCAATCAGACTGAACCTTTTCCATCAACCAAAGTCCAACATTCTGTACCCACAGCCAGCAGACCTCCACCTGACCTGCTGGCCATTGTCCAGTGATCATTCTGCGCAGCAGGCCTTTCTGATGAAGCTGCTGAAATGGCCGCAAGGGGCAGATGCCAGTCAACTTGCAAAGTTTACAACGGCAGAATACGACATTTTGCTTCATGGCTTGAAAGTCAGAGTGTGGCTCCAATCAAAGCATCTGTAACTCTGGTTGCAGACGTCTTCCTGTGCTTGTTTAACTCTGGGCTACAGGTAGCAATCATCTGTAAATGCCGTTTCACCATCACAGCTCCATGGTGGCTTCCTACACAGCTCCTCTCTATCGGACAACAAAGCCCTCAACTCTCCTGCAAGCACCTCTTTCGTGGTATGTTCACTGAACCTCCCCCCCTCTAGACAGCTCATTTCATCCTAGGACTTATCCTGTGTGCTTCAGTTCCAGGCGGATCAACCCCTCGGACCCCTCAGTGATGACCCCTTACTGCACACCTTCGTGAAGTTGGCTTTCCTCCTTGCTGTAACCACTTCACGCTAGGCACATAGCTGTGAGCGCAGTCCATCACTGACAGTCACATCAGGTGGGAGCCACAGGGCGTGCATTTCATCCCGGCTTTGGGCATCCTCACTAAAACTCAATCAGAATCATTCCACCCTCCAGACATTTTTGTACCTGACATCACTAAGCACTCTGGGTCTACTGATGAAAAACCATGGTGCCCTGTTTAAATTCTTCAATGGTATCTGTGAGGACTCGGAGCTTGAGAGGCACATTTTACTTCTCAGCTTTTGATCACCCCAGTAAAGCCTCACCAACCAGCATTCAGAGACATGGGCTGTCTCAGCCGTCAAGTTTGCCAGCCCTGAATGGCTGACTTCACTGGATGTCGAAACACACTGCCTTATCAGAGCTTATGACGTCAGGGCAGTGTCTACCTTATGGGCATACATGTACATGTACTTCTAGAGCGTCCCAATGGAGGACATTTGCTACGCAGCATGCTGGAAATTACCACCAACTTTCTCTTCATGCTACCCGAGTGACGTCTTACAGAGAGACTCTATGCCGAGGCTTCGAGGACTATCGCTGGGGCGGGCCCAGGCAGTTCAACCTGATGACTTTCTCCTCTTGTTGGTGAGTTCCCAACATCTCCTTATCTCCTCTTGATTATCCTAGACCCTGATAATCACATCCTATTTTGTCACATTAGTGCACCTTACTGTTTGGGTAAGATGAGTGTTATGGACTACTCCCCCACAGCAGTGTGGGAGAGTCTCCTAGGGAATACCTACCCAAACAGTCGGCTCCCGCCCATCATCCCCACTTGGGCTCAGTTTTTACACATGTATGCTCCGAAAAAGGACGAACACGGTGGCGCCGTCGCTCTGGATGGTAGCACAAAAGGGGCACTAGGGTTGATCAAAGTTTTAGCGAATGGCAAAAGGCGTGAAAGGACATTCACTTAAGTAGCAACTGTTTGGGTAAGTATTCTTTAGCGGACTCTCCCACACTGCCATGAGGAAACATACCTGTATGTGTTTAGAAGTGGAAATCTGATTACTAAAATATCCTTGCTTAGGCTGGAATGTCAGAAACTTGCATGTTAATGCCCATTTGTTGGAATATCTGAATTCAAATATAAACCATTTTGTAAATTTTAGACTTGCCCGACAAAACAATATTTCAGAAACTTTAGGGTTTAACATACAAATAATGAATGTTCATGAATGCAACAGTAAAAACAAGTGCATGAGGTGGTGCATTGAAGGTTGATTTCACTGGGCAAAGCTGACCAGAGCAAAACATTCAGTCTGTCTCTGAACAAAATTATTTTCATTATATGAAAGTGAAACATTCATTATTTGCTTTATACAGCACTGTATATGATTTGAAAACTTTGCATACAAGTCTTTACTTTGCTAGTCTGATGAAAAAATGCAATATGAAGTTTTCACTGTCTGCTTTAGTTCATGGTTAAGCGGACAACCCTGTGTTTCTTACAGTTTTCACTCATCATTTTATGAGCTACATGTCTTGTTTTTGTTACATGCAAAAGCATGACTTACGAGTTCACAAATTTCCTCAGTTGAGAGAAGAGAAAATGTTTAGTGACTGTGTTGTGGGTGTATCAGTCTCATTTAATCTTTTATGTATTTGTGTGAAGAGCTGTCCATGCATTTTCTGCTTGCATGCATGCCATGCAGCATTTTCTCTGTGTGCAAAGAGCCATGACTCTAGTGCATATGCACCTAGTTGTAATCAGTGGTGTTAAAAGATCCAGTAGTTGACCTGTATCAAGTAATTTGTTGAGATTTGAAGCTTTTAAAGGTGGGGGTAGCAAATAAACTAGATAGGTTTGCAGTAGCACCATGGATATATCTCTTTTATAATATGTGGGGTTCTGAAAAGAACCAGTGGTAGTCATCTTTTCAGAGTAATTAAGTAATTTGTAAAACATGACTAGAGACCTACAAACCAGTTGTTGAGTCCATAAAAAAGAAGTCAAGATTGATGTGAAACTTGGAAAATATTTAATTCTGGTTGGATCATTATCACTTGGTAAAAACCACCCATGTGACAGGCCTTAACTGATAACTAATAGGAATGAATAAACTGTCTGAGGTATTTTAGTAGCCTTTTGGTTTGAGGTCAGCACAGAATTTTGAAAGAATTGATATACATGTAATTTGTCTTAAGTTCACGCTACACTTGTAAAGTTTTTCAATAATAAGGCAGTTATTTAAAAACTTAACCACATGATGCCGGATGATGTGTAAACACACATAATTTTCCTTGTTTGTTCCACGGAGGACATGTACCGGTACACTCGTTTAAGAACTCTTTTTTCATTTCCATGGTTGATGTCTTAATGCATTGTGCTTGGATGTGTTCAAATGCAATTGCAATGTTGAAAAACTTTCAGGTAAATCCCCACCCCCAGCAGCTTTTTCATATAAGAAAATCTGATGTTAACTGGCTATTTAGAGAAAGCTGGAAAAACCCTGAGCTCTCTTTATAGACACAGAGCTGTAGTTTTTACCTTGCTATTTGCTTTTCATTCGTATACAGGAAGAGAGAGTGCTGAATCAATTTCATTATACAGCCTGGCCTGACCATGGAGTGCCAAAGTCAGTCAAGCCTATCATGGATATGATCCAGCTATTTAGAGAGTATCTGCCAAGTGAAGAAAGCGTTGTTGTCATGCACTGCAGGTGGGTTTACCCAAAGGTATACATGCACTTATTGCCAGCTGTATAGGGTGTTTTGTACACCTGAGGGGCAAATAGCACACTTGATTTCACCTTTGATGTCATTTGCCCCCAAGGACCATGAATCCCATCACAACAGGCTACAAAGGTTTTCAGCTATTCAAGACCATTGTTGTGCTAAATAAATCTGTATTGAATACAAAAACAAGAACTGTTTATGTTTTTTGTTTATTACCATTTGTTTGGCTGATTTTGACAATTTTTTAGCAATTTTTTCGTGCCTCCCACTTTCCCATCATAAACTCTGACTGAATGATGTAATGCATCACGTAATGCAATGATGTCACGTAAAGAACCCAATCTTCAAGGTAGGGGCCACTGACCCAGCGTTACACATGGAGTGACCGAAGTATTGCCGAGGTATCATGCCAAAAAAATCCTTGAAATTTGGTCACAGCAAGTGACAATGCCTACTTGATGTGTCGTTGTAGGATGCAGCAATACACCAAAGGACGGTGTGCGCCTGCACAGTTTCCCAAAAGACCCTGCATTACGGAAAATCTGGACAGCAAAAGTGTGCTTGACCAGGGCAAACTGGGACAGGCTGTCCTCAATGAGTGTCATCTACAGCGACCATTTTACAGCCAATGACTATGTGAAAATGCTCCATGAAGAGTTTGGAAAACCGAAAGCACCTCAGCTGAAAAATACAGTGATCCCAAGCAGAGCTGTTAATATCTTCCTCCAAAAAATTGGCTTCAAAATCGCTCTCAGAAACTTCAGAATCTGTCATTGCTGACTCCACTGTACACGATACGAAGAAAGGCGAATGTTGTAGGTTTTGCATGGAGACGCTTGCAAGGTTGTTCTTTACGTGACATCATGTTATTAACATTCCGGCATTCAGTGTGAGGGGATTTTTTTTAGGGCGGGGTGCTGGATCAAAAATTCTTTATTTTAAATGGCAAATTTGACTCCTCAGATAAAATTTTCTGGTTTTTATTATCTCAACCATGTTTGTAATTACCATAACGATGTTTAATATTAAATAGCTGAGAATCTTGAACTGTGATGATAGATTTTGTCACATCATGGATAACATCAGATACTGCAGGGTCTCCTCTTTCATGCCTATGGCAATGCAGAATTTGGAACTGCCATATTCACACACACACACAGAATGTTCTCTTTTTTTGTGATGTTGCTGTCCTACATATCAATCAAATTTCTGATCTAATTTTGGAATGAGAGAAAAACTTCTTTTTAATAACCAACCTGCTATCATCTTCTGACATTATTACGATGAAATTTCATTGAAATTGGACCAGTTAAAACAGGAATGAATGAAATAAAAAGGGCAGTCGTAGCATAGATAGTGCTTCACTTTTCCCTGCTGTGTACATGATCTTATGTACCGCACTTCCAACATGACTGTACTACCCCATTTTATCCAGTGTCAACCCGTACAATGTGGTGGAGACTGCACTTTCATCTGTGGGAAAGATCACAGTAACAGAACCCCATGAGGCACATTGCTCTTGTACCCAGTAATGTCTCTCATGGGTTCGTGGTCTGCAATATGTGTACATATACATGTGTGCATGTTTGTGGCATATCATGTGACTAATAGAAAATTGCATTTTGTTACTGTGGTATTATAAAATAGGTTGTATAATTAACTGGCCACTGTGACGGTTATTCGCTCCAATTTGTCTTAGGTCTCTTTTGAAAGAAATGAGTTTCTATTTGGCATAGAACGTGCTGTTAAGTCGTGAAACTTCACTGATTTTATTTTGAGCAATTGTCACCAGTGGCTTTGGTTTGGAGTTAAGGACAACCTGCATGCATAGACCTGTTACACATTTACATGTACATACATGTATGTGTACATGTATGAATTGTTCTTAAAATGTCATCATCAAATGAGACTGTTTGACTAGCAAGGAACGTGTAAATACATGTACATGTATTTGTGAGTTACCATATGCAAAGGCTCTCTGTTATACATGTAAGTACAATGTACGTAGCATTTCATGGGATGAACTTTCATGTTTACAGGTATGTGTAAAATTATAGAATGTCAAAATGTGCTTATGCAATCCAATTTTAAATTGTACAAAATAAACAGTAATGAAATATATTTAAACTTATTGAGTTTGGAGGGATTACATGTACATGTACATGCTAAACTTGGTGAGATCTTGTTAAACTCCCTGGGTCTTAGGGCTTCATCTGAGAGCAGAATGGCTACAAAATATGGTTGAAAAATGGTGCTAAGTGTCATAGAGAGTTGATGGTTCTCCCTCTCAAAAATAGCTGAAAAGCAGACTTTGGAAAATCACTTGGGTGGGGTGTGCTTTTGTCTTATGGGTATATACTTGAAAATTTCATTGGTTAACTCTAGTAGTTTAATTTTTGTTTCAGAACACTCAGGGATGTTGATATGCATGTTATTGGGCTCTGAACAATGCTGATTGCACACTCTGTGGGGCTTGAATTTGTAGTGGACTTGACCCCACTACAGTTGCTGATGTCCTTTCATAGATTTATAATTTGCATTTATGGCAATGAAACTGTGGAGCCTAAGTGAATGACACATGGGAGGTTGCAAGGTACAAACAATTCGTGTACCTTAGGCTGTGTTCAGATTATAGCCCCCCAGCGATACTGAAAGAAGTGCTGCAAACCTTAGAAATGTTTCCCTGTCGTTTTGTTTTTTGATATTTTGTTTCTTGTGTTTTTGCATCAGTAGTGGGCCTTTCATCACTGGTCTCATGATTGAAAGGCCTACTGTAGGTGTGAGCACAAGCACCTATCCTACCTACTTCAGTACCTTCTGTTAGAAAGGTACAGTTCTGAGGTGAAACCATAGCTGTAGCTCTTTAAAAAGTAATACTAATATACTAATATAAGTTACAAGACCTTAATTTTGTGAGGACAGACTTGAAATGTTCTGATGATTATTGACGTGAGTAAATAAAACTTGGGGCGTTTAACTCAGAAAGTCAGATTTAAAGCTACAGTAATTTTTGAACATTCAGATTTCAGGAGAGCTATGAATATTGTCCAAAGACTTCTGAAGTGTAGTGCTCGGCATTTTCCTCAACATTTTACCCAACCAGTTTTTTCTCTTAAATTATTGAGAGCAGGGCCTTGGACTCCTCCCTTTGTGCCGTTGAATTAATAAAGCAGCTAAGGTTGGACCGGATAAAAACCTGAATCGCTCTGTGAAAAAAATTCTATTTTAAAATTAGCTAAAAGAAAGGAGTATCTTACTTAGCAGAGTCCATTTATCAAGCGGCCAATGAGATACTAATTTCACGTATTACCAAGATGACCAAGATTCAAAGATATGGAACCAGCTTTCAAATATGAATGAAGTTTTGATGGTAAAGTCATGTTTGAAACACTCAGGGTCAAGTTCAGCACCTGAATCATGGACTGTATCACCCTATTCCTTTTCCTTCGAGGTTTTACGTAACCAATAGTTGGTCAAAATTGCAGTATTTGCACAGTATATAAACACTGTGATAAAGGAATAAAATGCAAGTTAGATCGTCAAAAATTACTTGAAAATACCATATGTTTTAGCTTGCAATTACATGTATACCTGATAAGTAATATATTTAGATAAATAAACCTTGTACAGCACAGTCCTTATCCGTAGACATGTTTCTGTAGATGGTATGCACTGGGTTTAATTCTCGAGTATTTCCTAAGAGTCTGAAACTCTGAACCTTAAGAGTCTTCTACTGGAAATTTGAATTTTCGAGTCGTTCATTTCGTAAGAATTTTTTAATTTATTCAGTCATTCACGCGTAGTCTGAATTTTTTTGTAGTCATTCTCTCAAAATCTGAACTTTCAAATTATTCATTCAAAGTAGGAATTTTTCAAACCATTCACTTTAAGTTGGATTTTCAAGTCACTCGAGTTTCCTGTCAGTTATTGAAATTTCTAGTCATTCACTCAAAGTCTAATTGTCCAGTCATTCACTTGAATTCTGAATTGTTGGAGTTAGCTAAGTCATTAGCTAAGTTTGAATTTTCAATTTATTCACTCGTAGCCTTATGGCAATTTTAAGTTGTTCACTCTGAGTTTAAATTTGAGGCAGATGCCAATCGTGTGAATGATTTTCCAGGCATTCACTGAGAGTCTCAAGGCATTCAATACATGAAACTCAGCTTGTAAACTGATAATGCCAAACTGGAAACTCAAAACAGTAACAGTTGTTCATACAGTATGTCAATGTTTTCTCATACATTCACTGTTCTTAGTGGGAGAGAAACATCCCATTCTGTTTTGTGTAAAAAGCCATTCATGAAATGTATATTTCATGAGAGCACATCCCCAAGGAAATAGAAATGGTTACAAACATTCTTTTTCCATATAGACCAACAAGTTGCAAGTCGCTTTTCCAAATTCTTGTTTCCCAAAGGTAAAAAAATTTTCAAGAATCAGCTTTCCAAAGCAATCATTCCCCAAGTCTGTTGGAAGACATGATTTCACAAATTAATTTTTAGTGCGCTGACCATTTGGATTGCTATGAAACTTAAAAAACTGGGGCTTGGTTTTGCTTTGAGTAAATGCCTCAAAAATATTGAATGCCTCAAAAATTCCTATTATCATAGGTTTGGCTAGAAGAATGATGTAACATTATGTAATGGTCCTCTTGGCCTGGCAGTAGGTCAGCTGACTCTCTGGCATTATCTGATTAACTCTGGGGCATTGACTCTTTTTCCACACAAAATGTCTGTTTTTCAAAACAAAGTGGTTCCTTTTGCTGAGTAGTGCTGTTTACAAAAAGATAAACCTAACAGAGGAGATAGCATCTGTAACATGTTTAACTTCCAATGTTACATTGTTGTAAGTTCACTTATTTTAAGGCTCATACAAGTTACAGATGGAGCAGTATCAATATGCACATGCATGTGCATGTTTCTTGTAGGAATGTTGTTGAAAAGATGACTTCTATCTTCTCAAACTGAGAGATTTCCTTGATAGTAAGCTAAACTTAGCTTTAGAATACTACCTTAATGTGCACACATACAATGTACATGTATATTGTAGGCAGGCTCATGAATTAGTAGACATTTTACCCACACAAGCCGAAATGTGTGCCCACAGTCCATTACACTCACAGCGCATACAGCACTGTACAGTTTCTATTGCATGTGTTACTTCCGATCAAACCCTGAGTCAACACACAGTCTTTGGCACTCACTTTCAGCCAATTTGCAAACTTGGGTTTTTGATCAGTCGTTTTCGGTCAGAAATCGCTAGATTCCTATTGGGTCAATCCCTTATAGTACGTCATCATTGGAGGGAAGAAGATCTTCTGCATCCTTCAGTTTTAGTGCTTTAAAATGGATCAATGCCTTCAACTCTGTCATGTGCCTGACAGTTTTTAGACCATTAAAAATCACATTTTGAGTTGGCGAATCGTGAAGCACTAAGGTATGTATACAATAGTATTCATTACAGATTTAGAATTAACAACTATAAAAGTCATACAATCAAAGGATTTTTAGCGAAACACCATTCTTTAATGGTAGTTCATGGGATCTTAACAGCATTGAATTGTTGAAGCTGTGGTGTGCACAACAATCCATGGCGTACAGAAGCTCTGGATCACATATTCACGGTCGGGTCAGATGACATGACGTATCACTGTACATTGCAACTAAATTTTAATGACAAGGTCATACTTTTAACAGGATTTTATCATCTAAGAAGGTTCCCTCATAATACCGGTACTGAATAATGCATAGAGTGTAGGTCATATTTGATTGATTTTTTTTTTATTATAATCAGGCAAAAATTGCTTGACTGTGTTGTACTTGTAGTTTCATTGTGTCATTATGATGGGCGATACCATTCAATTGATGGGAGCATTTTGCAATTATTTGTTTCTACGAGCATATTCTGTTTAATCAGTTTTGTAAGATTGCCAAATAAGATGTTTACAAGGCAATTAAATCATTCTTTTATCTACCCTGTAATAATTTTAAATAGAGTTTACATGTAAAAATGAAAATGTGGAGAACAAAAACTCTGAACCGAAAGAACTATCCCCGTCTAGAAATACATATTTCAGTAGACATAACATCAACACTAATGAACCGGCATTGACCAGATCGATAGAAAAGTTTGGGCATGGAGACAGAAGCTAGAATGGAGTAAAGGGTTTTGCCATTTGTGTTTTGATTCATTTTCATGTTTTTCATGAGATGTGATGAAGTAATACACTCAGCAAATAATTATATTGAGCAAATATACTTTTAGTATGACATGAAATTATGAATTTCTGGGCTACTTATAAAAGTTTCAAATTGTTTCAACTGTCTTTCTATTCTCATTCCCAGGCCACATGCTGTCACACTCAACTTTGATCAGTAATGCAGCTGGTCAATCTGCAACGTTATTATTATCATTAAAATAATTATGTAAATTGTTCCAATGAAACTTTTTTTCACTTAGCAGTGGTTGCAGTAACTGTTGTTTAGCCATTGTTTCTTCTCTATGTTTACTTGTTAGCTCATTACTTATGCATATTTGATAATAATTCAAAAATATATAGATCTATTTGCATTCTTAACGATCACATTAATTGAGTTCTTTCACATTTAACAAATGATTCATATTAAATGAATGCCTGTTGGTAATTCAATGGAATTTATATTTTATCCATTCTCAGAAAAGTTTCTAATTAATTGTATATGCAAATTTCAAAGTTAATTAAAAACTATTCCCAGGTTCAGTTAACTTTCTCAAAGCCAGATTTTGAAGTCTCATTTAAAATGTCATTCAGGCATCAATTTTTTGACCGTTTTCCACGTCCACATGACAAATTTAAAGGATTTACACCTTCGTGTAATTTGTTAATTATACCAAAGCTTAAACAGACTTTTAGAGTAGTCTGAAAGCATGTGGTACACGTGTAAATGTAAGGGGTAATATTCATTTCAGCAGTGATCTTTTAAGTGCTACACAGCAATAAAGAAAAAAAAGACACCCATTGACCCCTTTGCTCAGAATTTCCCTCATTTTGCAAAACATGTTTGCCCATTACTCGTTTTGAAAGATTCCAAAAGATTTCTTCTTATAAAGATTTACTCTTTTAAATGATGCATATTGCAAGTGACTGTCCTAGTTCGATATCACCTGAAATGCCTATTATTAGTGTGTTTTGCAGTATTGTCGGTACATTGTACTTTGTAGTCAATCATAGTTTCAAATATATTTTAATGTTAAAGATCTGTATTAATCTCCTTTCAGCGCTGGTTGTGGACGCACTGGTACAATGATTTGCATTGATTATGTTCGTGCTTTACTGAAGGCAGGGGTGAGTATAAAGAGTACTGTTTGGACATTCCATTTGTAAAAAATCAGTTTATACACCAAGAAATCCACTAAGCAACTGTTAATGCCTTACTTTAAACATCAGATGTCACTTACAGATTTCTGGGAATAGCTCTTAGACTTCACATCAGATTTCTGAAAATGTAGGAATTTCTTGTTCACTGGGACAGACACTAGGGCACAAAAATGGAAATTTTTATCAAAGTTGATGTGAATATTGCAGGTTATGTCTACATCTGCAACCAATTTTCTTGTATTGGCTAGCCATCATGCTGAATGATTTTAAGATGCATTTTATCATTTTAGAGTGACAAGAAGAGTCACAACCAACATCGTGAATGACTGAAGGACTCATACCCTTTGCAAAAACTGTGTCTCGATGTCACAAAACATGCTCCAATCTTTGCTGAAAGATATCATCAACAATGAGGACAACAAATGAATTACATCATACACTGTACATGTAGGTCAATTGGGATAATAGTGATGTGTGCTGGATCAGCCCTATCAGCATGGCAAAACACCAACTCACAGGCACTGAATGTGTTTCAACATAATATCAGGTGCCTTTTATCCAGAATATCCTTGCCCTCTTAACTTGCAAATTGGCTGATTATTTTGTTATACTTTTTCCATGTCCTTTATGAACATATGCCCCAGTACTCAGTGCTGAGATTGAGGGTATTGTGAGTTTCATTACTGTTTTACACCAAAGTGATATGGGGTCTTCCTGATGTACATGTAAATATGTAATGTTAGGTGTGCAGTAGGAGTGATTGACAGTACTGTTAAACCAATACTAGGGATTCAAATCAACAGAAGTGCACACAGCATTTTGGGAAGATTGACAGATCTTGAAGATTGATTGATTCTTAATTGAAGATATCGTGCAAGGTTCTAATTCATCGCACAGTGTCCATACTTTCACAAATCAAGAAATCATGCACCTCCTTCTTTCATCATGCTTTCATAAGAAAATAATTTTCTTTTCTAAATCTTCTTCATGTGAAAAACAATTATAAACAAGACTTTCTATGTCAGTTTGCAACAGAGCATAGGGATTAAGTTTTTCATTTCTAAGCTTTGATATTAAAATGTCCTTGCCAGGTTTGCAAAGCCCAATGGCCTATTTCATGAGAAACAGATTTAAATGGTACACCTTTGGTTTTATGTGATTTTTAACCTAATGACATTTCTTCAACTGATGTCAATTTTTGTCTACAACATTTACCTTTAAGTTTCAACCAAATGGGACATGTTCTTCAGGAAATGTAGGGCTTTAAGGATGCCCCACTAATGCCACATGACTTGCCACCAGATGATATCATCATCACATGATGTCTATTTTTGTCTTTTGCACTTCAATTTCCAGTTATCTGCCAAATTTCAAGCCAATTGGACACGTGCTACAGGAGATATAGGGCTTTAAAGGATGCACCTTGAGTGCCACCTGACCTGTCATCTGTTGATATCATCATTACATGAAGTCAATTTTCATTTCCATGTATATCACTTCCCTCTCTACCTACGTGCTACAATTTATCCTAACTGCACATGTTCTTGAAGAGAAATAGGGCTTTGAAGAGTGCACTTAGTGTCACGTGACTTGTCAGCTGATGACATCTTCGTTTCATCACGTCAATTTCCATCTATAACGCTTCCTTTTCCTGGATATCTACCAAGATTTAACTCAATCGGACATGTACATGTACTATAGGAGATACAAGACTTTAAAAAGTGCAGCTTTAATGTGACGTGACTTTCATCTGGTGTGGTCATCACCATATAAGGTCAATTATTATGTAAAACATTTCCCTCTCTAGTTACATGTATATACATGTACAAGGTTTCAACCCAATTGGGCATATACTTCAGAGATACAGTGCTTTAAAGGATGCATCTTTAATGTCATGTGACATGTCAACAGATGACATCAACATCACATGAGGTCAATTTTTGTTTGTAACACTTCATTTTTTAACTATCTGCAAGGTTTCAACCCACGTGATTGGGTTGAAACCTTACAGATAGTTAAAAAATAACAACTGAACATACTTTTTATCATGAAAAGAGCACAGAATGGGCTTTATTAGGATTTTAAACATTTTGCCTTTGGCGTGCCAGACTAAGCGATCTGCTTTCAGCAGTACGTGCTTGGCAAATTAGATCCAGCATACTGAGTATATGCCCTGTGCACTACCCATGTTATAGGCAGGTGTTGCGTGTCCATGCTCACAGAAGCGTCTTATATGTGTGAACTGGATATTCGCTAACGCAAATATCGTAAAGGGATTTTTGTCGTCAGAGCTTTATCCAGTGAACAACTAGACCAGTTGTGCACTTGGTGCAATTGACTCAAATGTTTAAACTATCACCTAATGGACAATTCACACACCTCTAACACTTGATTTATTACAGAATTTAAAAAAATAAAAGGACTTTTATTGTAACTTCCAGTCTAATGATGCCATCAGCCTCAACTTTCATACATGTACCTGTGTTAAATGGGTAAAAATCATCATCCACACCAATTTACAGGTGATTTCTACAAAATTTGCCATAGACATCAATTCAAAATAAATTTTCAAATTTTCAACCTGTCGCTAGAGGACACTCAAGAATTGTGTGATATCATCGGTAGACATCTTGAAGAATACCGTATCCTAAGAGACTCTATTACCACTTTTAAACAATAAGCCACTGCCTGTTTTTCCCAGTTTCAACTGGAATAAATGGTCATGTGATTTGCCCTAAACGAGATGAAATAATAGCTAAACTTTACTCTAGCACTTGCCACAAACAGAATGCAGGAGGCCATGATGAATTTTATATAGTGCTGTGAGTTGCTGATGGAACAAGTAAAGATTGGCCATCTATCTAAAAAAAAACAGCAACCAAGTGGGCTAACATTTTATGACACAAAGGTGCAGAAGGGTTGGGGGGGACAAAATGCCAGGCAGTTCTAAGGATGTTAAATTTAATGTCAAATCTCTAGCTATAGAATTCATTATATTGGTTTTGGATAGCCAATCCATCACCAGAACCGTATATGTCAAAAAATATGAAGCCTTGCGAGTGCCTCTTTAATGTCAGTTAATTTGAATCATAGTAGGCCTACTTGATACATTGTTGCAGTTGATTTCTATATAATTGATCATTATCCTTGCTAATCAATCCAATCATCACAGTGTTGATGGCAAATTTCAGAAGACCAACTTTCTGATGTACAGTGTATAATACAAAAACAGGAATAAAGAAAAAAACTTACCCTGTGAGACACCAGTATTTGAATAAATCAAACTAGATTGCATATCAGTCATGTTCATACTGTCCTATGAGAGTGATCCGTCAAGTAGTTTAAAATCAAAGACAAAACCAACTTCGGTACTTCACAATGATCAAGCAATTTGTGTATGAGTGTGTGAATAGTTTTAATGTCAGTGAGAAATCAAAGAACATCTCTCTAACCTATTGACCACATCCAAAGTGAGCGTATAACTTCTCCACAAGTAAGAAAGCTTAAACTACAGTTTCCCTGATATGCAAACTGCATAGGGTCTATCAAGCTTGATATAAAACTACTCTTAAACAGTCGTTCACACACTTTCATTGTATTGCTGTCAAGGCCACCTGCCTGAGATCATTCATGCATGTAATACACTAGTACTTGGGGATCGGAGTAATACATGACCACGTCCAAGACAAGTTAAAATACTAATAAAAATTCTTGAGTGCTGACTCAACCATGAATTTAAAAATCTTTGCAGGAATTCCATTAGGTGAAGCAGCCTTGCACTTAATTTTTGAAACTGACAACGCACATTTTGTTAAATCACTGTCAACTCATTTGGTTCAGAATCAGTAGTTTTCAGGCAATTCTGTAATTTCCTCATGAAAAGCACTCCAATCAAATTGTTATTAAATTCATTTAATCAATTCATTCAACAGATGTATCCAGTAATTGTGTATTAAATGTTCTTGGATCCATTTGAATATACACTCATCAGTCTTATTCCCTCCCAAAACTATTTCAAATTATTATGTGTCAGAGACTGTTCACTTTTATTCTTGTATCTTACTTTCTCTGTCTTGATGATGTGCTCTAACTCCTTTTGAATTTTGTCATGTTATACCTTGTTACCCTGTTCCAAGATCTCCTTATAAATTCCTGCTAATCACATCTTTAACTTCCATGTATGGGTATAAACTGACCTTTAGAATTTTCAAGTTGAAGGAAGGTGTGGTAGTGTTTGATTACAGCATTGTCAGGATGACACCATTTCTCATTAATGCAGAAGCAGACTCCACCGCCAGCTTTTTCTGCATCATGCAAGATCCTATTCCCTCGCAACAATTTAAACCGATCAATGGTCACCTTTCCATTTTAACTGAGTGTAAATACATTGCCACAATCCACCAGCCATGTCATGTTCAAAAGTCAAGCATTGTCTTCAGCTCCGCAGCAGAATATTGAATTGGAGAGTTCATTGGCAATGGCAACCCCAAATTTCAACACAATCCAGATGTCAAGACAAGCAATAACAATATTGAAGGCAAGCAATATTGCTAGTCACAAAAAATTTAAGACTTCCACAGATGATTTCCATGCTGGTTTTAAGATCCACAACATTTTCGAAAGCAAGTAAAACCAGAAAGACATGTGAGATGTGTCACCACAAGCACAGCACCACCACCAAAACAGCTGGTTCCCCATTGCATTCTGTTTTGCTAAGAACAAAGCTGCTGCCCAAGTGCCGCATTTTGAGTCTTGCCACAAGACTGAGGGCAAAAGAAGCATTGAAATTTATATGACCTGTAAAAGGTGCCTGACACGTAACTGGAATAAGCTCTTATTTTGGACCGACATGATTTTTGAAAAGAACTTTGGTCAGTTTGCCTTTTGGGATGTAGAATTTAAAGCTTGTAGAATTGGTAACAAGATGCTAGTGTTTGGTCATATAAGCTGGTTCCCAGTTCCATGTTGTTTTGCTAGGAACAAAGTCACTGCAAGAGATGGAAATGTACATGTATTTTGCATGAATGCTACGTTTGCAAAATTACGTAGAGGATTGTATGCCACACTGGCACCATTAATGCACCAGTAGTCTTGTGAGCTCGATGAGCAAAGGAGATGCACTGCTTAAGCTGAAAGAAAGTACTGTAAAGATTATTTGTGGATGGAATCTTGATGCAACCATGGTAACCCTAAATATTTCTGGCGCGGGTGAAAAATTTTAATGCAATGATATCCAGATTAGAGGTCAAAGGTGACATAAAATTGATACAAACTCGAATGAAGGAGCTGTGTGATTGGGTAATGCTTATATGTCACAAATTCCAACTTTTCCCTGTTGCAATGGTCAAGGGGTTGAAATGATTTGGGGGTCCCCTTGTCTCAAAAGTGCAGTGTTTCCAATTCAAGTGAGCTACAGCAATCTCTTCAAAGTGTGACTGTGGCCCAGCCCTGGGCAGTTGGCCAACTTCAAAAGCTTCTGATGTTCTTTAACGGCTTCAGAGATTTGGAGTAGTGGCTTTTTTATCTACATGTATGTATAAACATATGTTAAAGGGTGTGTCATATTTTTATTTACTTCTGTTCTGATCCAACTTCTCATATTACCTACATGTTGCTGTCAGATTTATGGGCATTTGAATTGTTTTCTAGAATTTTCTGTCAACAACCAAGGGTTTCTTAAAGTTTCTCACAGTTTGGTCAACCTCACTAAATGTGTCATACGCATAGTCATTGTGGTACAAATCTATCTGTGTTTTGAATAAAACAAACTAATTTACCCTTGGTTTTCTCCTCCTGTTTTTCTTTCAGAAAGTAGGGGCTGACTTCTGTCTGTATGACATCATCATGGAGATGAGGAAGCAAAGACCAGCTTTTGTTCAGACAAGGGTAAGATCCCAAAAGCTATGGCCAAGTAAATTTATATCAGATTGGTGCAAGAGTTCAGTCATGCTAACATACATCCCTGTTGTATCAGAACATGTGAATGCCATCAAAACTTTGTTTATGTTGCTGTTACTGTAGAAGATAGGAGTATCCTAATTTTGTTTTGTATGACAGCCCATTTGAATTCAGCAGTATCAGGTTGATGTGTTGAATCCCTTTACCATTTGAAGTTAGTGAAGAAATGTGTAATCAAATTTTAGATCTATACTTTTGTATGTTTGGAATAAAAAGTGTTCTTAGATTTTACAAATGCACATTTAAAATGGAGGACCTGTTGAAATTTGCAAAGTTTTCCTTGTTTGGGTTATTGTTTTTCTTGAAGGATATTAAGTTTTTAGTCTTAAGCTTTTTAAAGTAGTAATTCACACAAACTGCAAACAGCCTTGATCCCAGATATACCTTGGACATTACAATCAAGATATCAGATATCAAGTTAGAAGCTATTTTAGATTTGTACAGTTCTATTTTTATGCAGTTTTGAATTAGGAAATTACTGTCATTCACAATTCCTCATAGAGGTTGCCTGTACTAATTGGTTTTGTGTGCTCTGCCATTTGAAAGTTATTATTTTAGTTAAAGCATTTTGAATTTAAAAGTAACAATTAGTTTTGAAAAATGGTGAAAACGTATCACAGGATACTCTTAGATATAGGTCTTTAAGGAACATGTTTAATTCCTTCTTTTAACAGGATCAGTATGAATTAGTGCACAGAGCAGTGGCCTGGTTGTTCAGAAAGGAACTTGGTTTGGCACCCAACCCTCATGACTTTGACCATTTGTATGAAAATGTTAAATTGCATAATGAGGTTAGTTCATTCTTTGTTTCAAATTTAATTTCAGCCAGTGTAAATCAATTGTTTCAAAGGTATTAAGTCTAAGTGTAACCAAAGATTGATGAAGTGGGGAAAGATTGCTTGTGAATGGGGTCTTGATCCTCTGTGACTGTATTTTTGACAATGATTTTATGACTGTGACCAGATGCCATCATGTCTGAAGAATTCCAGCTGTTTACACTCTTTTTATGTTTATTGTCAGGGACCTAGAATGCCTCCTGGTGCAGGTAATTTAAGTCCAGATATAAAGCCAACACAACAGCTAAAGGTGAGATACATACATGTATGCCTGTGTACATGTACATGCCATCATTTGAAGGTAGAAGTTAGTTTGTGAAACAAAAGATTGCATTAAAATCAAGGTTAATACTCTTCCGTGTTTATTTTACATACACATTGTCATTTGAGTTCACCATAGGATTTAGCACAAACACAATCATCTACTTACAGCTTTCAACTAAGGTCAAAGTCGATACACACAACCCCATTATTGAAAATTAAAAAGTTATCTTTGTTGACTTTGTGCAGAGATTTGACTCCTTCATTTTACAAGTTATTCAACCCTAAAATCCCCAAGTTTTGAAAAGCCTTGAGAACCCAGCTTTCTACACCCAGTACTTTCTTTGTCCCTGTTTTGATTGTTACATTCCCTTTTCTTCAGACTAGTTCATACTTCAAGGAACACAAAAACAAAGCAAATCTGGTGTTACAAAAAAATTTGCAGCAACTTTTGCAGATTCTCAGCACATCTTTGATGAGATCTCACAATTTTGCATTTTTGTGCATGTTTGTGCCAAGTACAAACTGGCCTTTCAATAGACAGATACAATATTTGTGCATGTGGCTTTCCATATAAGAATGTGTACATGTATTGTATTTCATGAGCATTATGTGAAGCATACATTTTTTAGCTTTTGTGTCATCAGTGTGCATTGCAACATACATGTACATGGAGCTTGGCTCCATCGTTAAAAGTTTCAGAGAAGTTTTGAGGGTGGTTGTCACAAGCCGGGCTCCAAACAACCTAGGTTTTGAGTTTTTGGAGCACCTCACTGATGGAAATCTTTGAACACATTTCAATTTTCCAAAAAACCTTTATTTACAATATATACACAACTACCAAACTGTACACCGATACTTCTGTCTTCAAAGTTATAAAGTGATCACTTACCGTTCCAACCTTTTTGACCAATATGTGGCCACAATAAAGATATCAATTTCTACATTACAAATGATACCGCCATTGTCACTGATTGCACCTCAGACAAGCTCTCTTGGGGGTTTAATTCCCTTGTGGAGTTTTTACTCAGTCAACTGGGCATCTCTCTGATGGTGGACGATGTGATCTCAGTTTGGTTCTGTAGGTTGCTATCATCTCGCCCTGGAACTTGATCGAAGCAAACTGTAACTCCTCTAAAAGGAGCCCTGAAATATTATACAATTAAAAAGAAACAGTTTTTGCCAAATAACGCAACATAAACTTCAAAACTAATTAAATTATTCATTGCAGCTGCAGCTTTTGCCGATCCAATGCTGAGCATGGTCAAGCCACAATCTACTAAAGTGCCTTAATTCAATGAATACAATTATCATGCTGTGAATTATGTAAGAGGGCATTGGACTGGCCTTGCCGTCTGTACACAGAAATATAATCCTTTCTTACGCATTAAAATCAAAACCCCAAGTTTCAATTGTGACATGTTTGTAAATCGGAAGTAAATTCTAAAGGAACTTACTTTAATAGTAAGGAATTAAATATAAAGCAAAATATTAATTGATTATACCTATGTGGCAAACTTACAGTTTTAGAGACAAGAGTTGTCTTAAAAGCCTGACTCCCTTGGCTGAATATGACTGGAAGCAAGTCCTGGCTGATCAGCTAGGTTATTAAACTTTCATAACAGCTATTGATGAGCTGAATTCTTTCGGCTATCGCCAGTGTTCAAGAGAAAATCTTTCCCCACCAAAATCCACTTGGGCTAATGCTCTCCAAATACATGTTTGTGCTATTGCACCACTAATCTGAGCTCCTTCAGTCTCTGGCATGAACTGACCAGAAATTTTCTAAAACAGCCCTCCACTGCATCAGGAGCTGCCCCCAAAGCCCTTCATGTGTTATGTAAAATGAAAGCCCACAATTTCTTTCAAGCTTTCCTGCTACGACCTTATTGGGAATACCACACCCTAAAAATCAATCCAATTGATGTTAATGAATATTCATTTACACAAAAATATGCCCTCTTGTGACAGTGGTCGTACCTATTGTAATTAGCAAACATGCATGTACATTATGTACATGTAGCAGAAGTCGGGAATTTCCAACAGTTATGAACACACACTGCATGCACTCCTACATAGTCATATGAGCCCAATTGCCTCAGGTTACAATCATGGTTATATTGAAGTAAAGCAGTACAAAGGCAGTATATTTGAATAGAATCTCAACTAGTTTGCGAGGTTTCTCCTGCTACAATCAGTGACCCTTGTATGTGTTCATGCAAGGAGGAAGGACACAGGACTTACAACTCTGGCACATCAAAGTGCTTGATGATCATTGCTGCCCGGGCCGACAAACAATAGTAGACATTCCAAAAATGCCTGAGTACTGCCTGCAGCTTAGCCAGACAAGTGGGGGTAGCAATATCATAGCAATATTTGTGGTGTTTTCTTTGCAATTAACTGCAACTTGTCGCAGTTACCAGTTACCGAGAAATAGAAAATATCTAGCATTAGATTTACTTTTGCAGTCATGAGTACATTTTTTTTAAAAAGATTTTGATACACTTTTCCATTATCCATGCAATGTTTGTAATTGTATTTTGTCACTCCAAAACATCAGTTTTCAAAGTCTTTGCACAGATTTGGCTAAGACTGGCCAATGACTTGTTGACCACCACAGGACAGTTAAGTTCACAAAAAACAAAATGCACTGTTTCATCACAAGGAGTGATCATGAAATCACAAAAAATACCCTTTTGTGTAAATTCAGAAATAAAGAGGATTCAAATTTTAAAAAAATCGGTTATTTATTCCCAAAATAAGTCCAGAAGAAAGCATTCGATAAAGGCAATTACTGCAGATGAACACTTATGGCACACGGCCTAATACTAGCAAATGTACAAGCATTAAATTTGATGTTGTCAGATTATACCAAGCACCAACGCTTGCCTGAATATTCAACTTCCTATACTGCAGTACACACCGTTTTAAGGATGCAGATTACCAGCAAAAAATTACGGCGATGATCATGAGGTCCAAAGGGGGCATATGGTTGTGAAACAGGTGGTGAGTAGCTAGCATTGGCTGCGCTCTGGCTATGGACAAACTGGGCATGACAGAAAGCAGTAATTGGCTCGATGTTGTAGCCCAGGCAGTTCAAACTCCTCCTGTGTCCTTTCTCCATGGTTCATGTATGTTGTGATCCACGTTTTGCATCATGCAGCAAATAGTTTACTATGTCTTATAAAGCAAGAAATAATGGAAAGGATGTTCATGACAGTAATAACATAGTTTATTTTGCAACATGAAGAACTTGTTTACATTTTTAAAATCTACTTTTTGTGGCCAGTGTTTTGTAGGATATGTATCAAATGTCTTGCAAAATTCAAATGTTATTTTCACACAAAAAGTGGCTGGCTGTGTTAGTGCTGGTCATGATGGTTTGAAGTTAAACCATCATCACATCAATGGTGTTTTTAGACTGGAAGTCTAATATGGAGTGTCATCATATTCCATGTTGTTTGTTTGCATTCAGTTAAGTCCAAAACAACGGAGGCAGAAAGATAAAGAGCAGGATCATGGTCACAACTATGTTAATCATGTCATTCAAGGAAAAGGTAATGATCTGCCATTTTCTACAGGCCATCTGAGTTGCTGGAAGGATTCTGCCAGTTTTTGAAAATAAATCCATTTATAAAGAACTAAGTGGTTCAGTCGCACTAGTGTATGTCTATGTATTTTTTATTTTGAGAATTTCTTAACTGTTAAAAATCTTTATTTTCAAGTCCACTTATCTGTTTTTGTTCTGTTTTGAGTCTAGTTTACTGATGGCAAAAAAGTAAATGAGACTCAAGTGAGAATACTAGATTGCCTTATTAACAGCATTCATTAAATGACTTGTTGATCTTTAATTTTTGAAGGCTCATCATCTGATGGAGGTTCTACTTCAGCACCTGCAAATATGAAGATTCTAAAGCCCCCATCATTACCTACCAAACAGCAACGTGACACTGATACCAGTGAAACAGTATATGCAAATTTTCAAGAGAAGACAGACACAGAAGAAAAACTGGATGATGCTTGCTCAAGCCCTGCTGTCACTCCAAAGCACAGTCCCTTGGCTCAAGAGAGATTTGAAAGTGGCTACAAGAGTACATTAGCTGCTTTTAAGGAATTTGAGGCACCGCCTTTGCAAGTAAAGCCTCAATCTCCTAAATCCATAGAGCAGGGGAAACCAACTCCACGTTCAAAACCTGTGCTTTCTGTGTCATCCACCAAATCATTAGACCTTGACCTTGGCAAGCCAATTCTTCCGGCTAAACCCCCACTCAGTGATAAACCTGCAATTGGAGAGAAACCAGTCAAAGTTTTGCCATCAACACGACCAAATCTGGCAACAAAACCAGCTTTTGTACGAAAGAAAGATACAGCCAGTGGGGGAAGCCCTCATGGGACAAGTCCATCCTCAGGACTCAAACGACGTCCTACAAGTGAACCAGTCCCTCCTCAAGACCATGAGAAGGTTCATCACCTGGGTGCTGCACAGTTCCTACTTGCTAAAAATGTAGTCAAAGCCACACTTTCTAACAAGTCAGAAGGAGATGACAGAAAGGAACATGAGGTCAAAAAAGGCAAGGAGAGGAGAGACTCCCAGGGCAGACCTACCTCTGCCCCTCCCAAACCACCAACAGCTGTCACAAAACCGATGACCAAGACTGCTGCCACTAAACATCAACCCTATGAAGCAGTGGATATAGCCTTGCCTTTGGGAAGAGATGCGGCATCCAGTGACAAGGAAGATTCAGCCAAAGGATTTCAGTATGAAATTAAGCCAGTAGTGACGGTTAAACTCCAATCTCACCAAGATAAGGTTGATACTAAGTCACCCAAAAATCTGGAATCTTCCCTAACACAAATGCAGCACAGAAAAACGATTGACGCAGCTCGGCCTCAGCAACCAGTCCCTGAAAGTGGGAGCTCAGAATATGCCTATGCTGTCCAACCTGTTAATGTAATTGAAAAACTGAAAGATGCTCAGTCTAGACCACAACTCAAGACAGGACAAGGTTTTTCATATGCCTATGCTCGTGACTCTGTAGATGACGGTACCGGCACTCCCAAAGAGTCATCTAAATCACCCAAAATTTTGGATGATTATTCCTATGCTTCTGATGTAATTATCCCTGTTACATCAGTCAACAGAGAAAGTTCTGATGGGAAGAATACTGGACAATCCATGGCCTATGAGGTCATTCAGATCAGTCGACCACCCAGTCAGAAGACATCAGAAGAGGCAGGCACAGATGACATTCCTGTATTTGACAAAGGCCCAGGTGAATACAATGAACCAAACTTCATTTCTTATAGACAAGGTAAGACATCTATGTTGTCAGGTTTTATTCTGTTCTTTTCTTCTGTAGTTACTTAGATTTCAGTGTAGAGCATGTGTAGGGCATTTGTGTCAAGAAGATACCAAGCAAGTCACCATTGTGTTTATCTTTGTACAATAATATATATGTACATATTCTTGACAATGCAGATCAGCCACTTACAAAGCACATGGACATCCTGCTGATTGGACATAACGTACTTCAGTATTCTCTTTAAAGTGGAGGCTCTCTTCACTAATTGTTACAACTATCGTGGCTGAGTTTCATTGCTGAGTTTGAGTTTCATCTTCTTTATGTGTAACAGTTTCTGAACAAAGCTCCTCTGGGCAGACCCGTGAATCTGTGTTGAGTAGCACCTCATGGGCTTCCTTCACTGATGATGATTATGACTATAATACGGATGAGCAACCTCCAACAATTCCAGTCAAGACATCTGCAGCATATGAATATGTTGACGGTATGTGGTTATTTTTGACAGACAGTAGCTTTGAGGTGTTAGTCAAATTATAGACAAATTTAAATAAATAAATAATAAAGTTTGTATCTGTAACAGAGCAGATAGATTCTCCGTGTTTATGAACTTCTGAAAAAGAACTACACTTGTTGCTGCCAGATGTGTACAAAAAGAATAGAAAAATGTGTGCAATAGGGGCTTAACGATGCATTGATAATCATGGCACTGTATTTCCTCAATACAGTATCATGATACCAAATGTGTACTTTGATACTGGGAAGGATGGGTTAATGCACTGATGTGATTCAAAATTAGAATAGAGTTGGAAATAATGTTGAAGACAAAACAAAAAGCTGTTTGCAAGGTTATATTTTGGGGTAGGGCTTCATTAAATGGTCCATCATAGCCCTTCTGATGGGTTACAAAGGGTAAAGCTCAGAATCCCACCATGCTCAGAGACCGTTTAACACAGCCTGCTATCAAGAAGACCATGAAAAAAAAATTGTTGTGATCCAAAAATTGGAATTGCCAAAATGTCCAGGTTGACTGCCATGTATAATTTCAAAAAGTGGCATTCCCGTCTGCTAAGCGTTGTATGCATACACACATATTTAATAGGTATTTTGCAGGTGTCTGTTTGAACAAGGGCATGTTACAGATGTATGCCCTTCACACTGCCAGACGCATATTTGTTGTGTTCTTCGGTGATGTCAGCATATTCAATTTACATTACATTTACAATAGCCTTTCATTTCCTACAAGTATACTCATAGTGGCAGAATCCGGCTTATGAAGCAAACTGTCGGACAGAGAGACCCCACCACCTTTGAGTTGGTTATTGTTATACTGGTATCTCAGGAATTCTTTTCAGACATCTGGGGGGGGATGTGTTAAGTGACAATAGGCTGGAGTGTGTATAGGGATTGGACTTGGGGGGTTATCCCTCTGTCCCATTTTGTGCCTGGTATAGAATCCAATACACCTGTGACTACAAGTACACTCTTAGTTGGCTGTCAACGTGTTAAGTTGCTCAAATATTCAAACATACATGTAAGCGCTGTGATTTAGTTTCTAAAAACAGCATTTTAAATGCTGATTGTATTATTATGATTATTATTATAAATGTACATTTAGTCTAGTGCTGTACTGATAATTACGGTAGTTCTTCAGGCAACTGGCTGTGAACATTCTGTTGGGCTTTTGCCAGTGGCGGAATGTTAATTCTCCATGTGTGGTTGGTGAAATGTTCTCTGTTTCTCCATCGCTACCAAAACTGAGTTTACTTGCATGAAACCAGACTGATTTTCTCACAGTTTTTTGTAAACATGGGGTACATGTCAAATAGGCTTGGGCGGTATTGCCTTTTTCGATACCGCGTTTTCCATGAAAAAAATACCGCGGTATTTACTAATACACCAGGGGCCAGTATAAAGGGTTTTTAACGTCACAAAACCCCCTAAACTTAATAACTATTATAATTTATCTGTCCATTTGATGTCAAATAAAAATTATTTATGTGAATGAATTTTTTAAAAAAGGGACGGTGTTTTAAATACCGATTTGTTGCTCCGCGATTCCTATATCTGTGTGGTCACTCGTATATGTTTTATTCCTCCATGCTCGTACAGTATCAAAATCTGCACATGTGCTATAGTCATGTTGGTACTCGCTGAGACAGTGCGTTATTGTAATGATGACGTGATGGTTAACAGTGGCTGCTCCTCTCAGCTGCGCCCTAACACTGCACGTGTGCAATGGTAAGGTGGCTTTCAGAAAACTCTGCGACGCGGTAGTCAACTCTTTATTACGAAAGCGGTTGTAACGAAATTCCGATTACAACAAGCACAACTCTGTGGTCCCGTTGAAAACGTGCATATTTCTATGGGGAGAAAATATGTTATAGCGAAATAGCATTGTACGAAATTCCTGGTACAACGAAAGGTTTTCGTGACTCCGTGGCCTGAAAAACCATTCTTGATGTCCCATTCATAAAGCGTTTGCAAATCGCGGTGGTAAAAACACGTGCACGGTTGCACCACACTGGTTCCCACTTGGCCGAACCGTTGCCAGTGAAGGCATGATGGAAATGCGGCAAGCAGTCAATGTACAGGTTCTGCCAAAAAAGGGTTGTACGTTCCACTACATAGAATACAGCTCTATAGTTGCAAGTCGAAAAAACACTGCTGTCACAAATTTTCTGCAGGTTCATTCACAAAAATTGACCTCATGTCTATGTTTGTGTTTTCTGTGTTCGTGAATTCAATTTGAAGTTGTACTGCTTGTACTCAAGCAAGCGTGCTACCACAAAATGTCCAGCCGTGCAACACAAGGCTTATCGCACGCACGCTTACAATGCGATATACAGACATTGGTTGCCAGATTCCTGTTGTCATGACACACATAGTGCATAATTAAAAAATCCATGATGTTTTACATTCATTACAGAAACCCCAAAACAAAAATTCCCATCCCATTTCCGATAAAATATGCCCCAAATGAGTTCGCATGACCATTCTCGTATGTCAAAGAGTCCAACTAATCGCCCAACACTGAACTATTCATACTGCTGCAAAGAGATCTGGCGTGCCCGCCAATGAGACTGTGCGTTTTCATGACATACATTTGGCAAGACACAGCTATCCAATCGCAGTACTCGTTCATGACATTATGCTTCCTCAGCGACCATCTCGCGTGCGGGCGGCTGCGCCGCAGTGGGCGAGTGATCTTGGACTACCAATTAATCGTGTCATGCAGCTTGTGTCAAAAATCAAAAGAGAGGCGAAAAATTAAACAAAAAAATGTCTCTCCGTGACACACTTTGTGTTGGGAAGACTACTTCCATGGATGGGGGCTTTAGTTGATGAGCCTTCACATTCTTGCAGGTACATCCAGGCCTACATGTGCATGCAGGTTAGTTATTGTTGGCTTCATCATCATCCTTGGCAATTGAAAGTCTTTTAAAAATCCCTGGATCAATGCTTTCACATGTATTTGCTTTTTAAAATTTCACATGCACATTAAACATGTTGTTCTATGACAGTGAAGTTTGTTATTCTAAACACATCACAAGGTATTTGATTAATCATAACCGAGAGATCTTTTTGATCAACCACGTTGTCCTAATTTTATTCTGGAAAAACTGAAATACAAGCAGTGACAAGTGAGGAATCGGGTTTTTGCTTCTCTTTTCGTGTAGTTGGAACGAATGTGAGAATAAAAAAGATCGTTGATTGCCGTGGATGTTGAACAGATGCAGATTTATGGAATCATTTTATAGGTTATAACACACATTCCTGGCTTTGGTTAGATAGACACAATACTTGTACATGTTGTATATCAAGGACAAAAAAGACCCTAAGAGAGCACAGGGCTAGCACAAGCAGCATTCGCATTTTCTGATCCGCCAATAAAAATCATTGGAAAATAAAGTCCAGTGTGGACACGGAAGACCAGTTGATTTTTAATTCCTAACCTGTAGGGCTATGATACATGTACGTGTACACATGTGCCAATGAATAATACAAAAAGCACTGCCTACAAGCTATTTCAAAACCGCAAACTTGACGGCGGCGATAGGGAAACAAAACCTTTTGACAGGCAGGTTGATGGCTGCATGCTGATGTATCACGTTACGTCTTATCTCCTCACCAAAAGAGACAATACAAACTTGATGCTGGATGACTAAAACCACAAAGTATGCAGTCACTGTTTTGGATATAATTGTCTGCTTTCATCTTATGAGGGTTGTGGGAACATTCTGAACAAATTAGCCAGAATACTGCAGTATTGAAATCCAATACCGAATTAGTCGGTATTCCGGTATTCATGAATTGTTAGTCAGTATTGCTCGGTATTAAAAACAAAACCGCGGTATTCGGTAATACCGAAATACCGCCCAAGCCAACTGTCAAATATGACTGCAGTTTACGGATCGAGATGTGCACGGTTCCAAGACCAATCATAAGTAACATGGTGAGCAATGACAAAAGAATGCTTTTTTTCACAGTTCATTTGAATAGCTTGTAAATTGGCTTAAAACTGAATGACTTGTGATTGACTTGCCATGGACTCGAATACAACACTGAAATGTACCATCACAAAAAATAGTGATGCACTTACTTATGAGTACAAAGGAGTTGGAGAACTATTCTTTGCATCAGAACTCTCGTGAAGTTATACAACGTGTTGCTTTTCTGTTGGACCCAACAAATCCAATGGATATTGGGGGTGCCCTGTATTGATGCTCCTCGGAAATCTTCTGCAAACACCTTATGTCAGTAAAAACACTGCAAATGCGATGTAAAACTACTCAAGGGACACCAGTCCTCTGTGCATTCTAGTAATTATGACATTCTTCCACCCAGCTGCAGTAGTTGAGCCAAAAGAAAAACCACAGGGACAAGGCTTTGTTTTTTTCCTGTATGTAAACAAGGTGATTTGTCTATTTTGATTAAACCAAAAACGTTGTGAAAATAAATACAGGTTTCTGGTTTGTTATAGGACTCGTTCACATCACTAATAAAGTAAACTGACAATTCTTTTCTTCATTCCTTGAAAAGTCTTGTGAAACTAAACAGACATCTTTACATATTGAACTTCTTTTGGAAATGGAGATTAAATTCAGTGCATGGTGCAGTGCATAAAACTGTATTTATTTTTTTTTAATTATGGAAATGAAACAAACTGAATATGCTTTACTTGTTTTTTTTCACATGGTACATATTGTGATATGGATCATATTGATACCCATCTTTCATGATGCATATCACATTGTGAGCAAGTGGTATTGTTACACCCCTACTGTGCTAAACCTGTGGGATACATTGAAACTCAGCCAAAGATCCCGGAAAGATGTAATCATTATGTCATTAATCCTGGACTATACATGTACTTTGTTTGGGCCAGGTTGATAGAAATGTTTTAGAAATAACGTAGGTTTTAGCCAGAAAACCTGTACAAAGTATTTTTTTGAACTTGGCAGAAAGGTTAAAAAATTGACAGAAATCACATTGTGACATGATCACAATGAAATTACAGGAAATCCATTCTCCATGAATGTATTTCTGATAGGAAAAGGATGTGTTGTAAAGGTGTCAAGTGTGGATGTGCTGTAAAATGATACCAAATATGCGATCAGATAAATCATATCAAAAATAGATCAAAGTTCACTTGATGTCATCAGGATGTCATTTCGCATATTATCGTTATCCATTGAATTTTGTTGATTGATCTAATCTAGTGTGTAAATTTAAAATTGCAATTTTTATTGATGTCAAATATTTTACTCCAATGTCATTATCAAAAGTCTTACAAACAGAATTTTGAAAATACATGTAGCTGTTTCATTCAGAAGGTACAATATTAAGAAAATCAAAAACATTAAGAAATCACATGATGATGTCACGGCATTACACCAAATTTTGTCTATAGCACAGTGCAGTTTGAGAATGCAGGAAGTTCTAGATATGAATGTACATGTACATGTAGTGGCTTCAAAAAATGCATCTTTGAAGGTCTTTCTATCTTGTCAATGTGGGCGATTTACAATGCGATGTGCCACCAACAGCTTGTCTTGGAGAGGCCTTTGCGCAGTGAGTTAGAGGATAAATAGTTGACAAGGTCTCATTCACTAACTGCACTCTGTGCAGAAAACTTGAATTTTTCAAATGTTTTGTTTATTTTGGTTGAAATTCTAAATTGCTTATTACGAATGGGTGTTAGTCAAATTTATGGTTTTGTGTGGTACATGGAACTCCTCAATCAATCAGATATCCCCACATTACATGTGAAGTGTGCTTAATCGCATTAGCATGTCAACTGTAAACTTGGAAAGTGGCCTGTCTGTAGCAAACTCTTAGTGATGCTCTGTATTGTGAATCACCCATATTGCGCATTTTGCTGAAAGGTTTTTCTTTGGGCCAAGTTTACTGAAAACATAGCTGCAGAAAAACTTACATGTACAGTAAGTCCTTACCAGAGAAAAATCTGCAAAGTCTTCGCAGTTTGGGAAAGAAGAACTGATATAAGAATCAGATTTGAGTTAATTAGGTAACAAACATGAGCTGTTGTAGTGTCTGGGGGGGATGAGGCAGGAATCGAACCCAGATCTCTTAAGTCCATAGTCCTGCATTTAGCCCTTCGACCACTTACCGATGTACCGTAGTCTAACTTCAATGTGTTTGGCCCTGTTTAAAGAAGCAGGGGGAATGGTGAAATATGGAGTGATTTCAAGTACATTTAAATGCATGTACATGTATGTACGGTACATACACACAACATAAGAGATATGGAGTGTGACACATAGATAGGATTTTGGAGGAGTGGTCTACTGTTAGGGTACCTTTTGTCATAAGCTGGTTACATGTGTGAATAGTGAGAGAAGCCAAACACCTGGGACAGTCTATGTCAATGTTTATTCAATCAGTTAATGGGCAATTCAAGACATATCTCTCAGGATTGAATTTTTTGTGATTATTGAAAAATTACAGGTCATGTCATTGTGACTTTTGGTCTGATAACATCACTGGCTTCAAACTTCACACACGTGTTGTTTGCCTAAAGGTTATCATATCTACCAATTTTCAAGGGATTACAGCAAACTTTCCACAGACATCTATTTGAAATGCATTTGTTACATTTTTCAAGCTGCTGCTTGAGAGTAGTGGAGAATGTCATGGAATCACAGCTCAAAGTTTTGAAGAATACGTTCTTGCTACAGCCTAACACCATTGAAAGCAAGTTCACAGGGATTTTAAAGATTATGGGGGCAAAAAGAGCAACAAATATTGTGATTGGGTAAT